TCCAGTCCGCTGGCAGTCTGCACCTCCCCTTCCTTCAGCTCCAGCTGCCCATGTGTCCAGGCTTGCCTGTTCTTGCCCTCTAATCAAGAAATACCTCATCTTTCAGAATCTACCTCTGGTCTGTTGGGCCGGGAGCAGGATCCAGTCACCAGACCCCTGGGATCTCTCCCACCTCAGTTTCCCATGACATGCATTGCCTCTGTAGGTCACTGGGACACCTGTCATCAGCTCATGGTGTCATTGTGTCTGAGCTGGGTTTCCCAAAGAGACTAAAGTCCTTTACAGTTGGAACCATGTCGCTCCCTGCCCGAGGCTCAGTGTTGGAGAGCTAGATGGTGACATCCTCTGTCCTGTAAATCAACCTTCCTGTACAAGTATTGCTTGAGCATCTATTATGTCCCAGGTACTATGCTGTGCGCCAAGAATGCAGCTGAGGAGATGAAGTTCCCTGCCCTCGAGGGGCTTATGGTCTGATAGGGAGGATAGATGAATACATTTTAGAAAGTATAATTGTTTTGTAGGGTACGTATAAGGTGCTCATAATAGGGGCACCTAACCATAGCTGAAGTGCCAGGGAAGGCTTCCCCAAGGAAGCAAACTTTATTTTTGATTTTATTTTTATAGTTCTTGATTTTTTTATTATTAGAGTCAACAAAGAATAACATCTTGATAAGTGTAATCAGAACAAACAAAATGTATGGGAAAAGAAAATAAATACTGTGCTACCCAAGGTGGTGGATTTTAAATTGGGGATTTAAAAATGGGCTGGGCCCGGGAGCATCAGGAGCCTCTGCTGTTGCGGCCTCAGTGCAGAGATGGTGACGCTTCTTCAGCTAAGGAAGCTAGAGCTACAGGGAGATACCAGGGGCCCAGAAGGAGGAGGAGTAGATGACACGGAGGCAGGGAATGGTGAAGTGGCTGACAGAACTCTGGACTATGGAAACATTCCAATCAAAGGAACCTCCCCTGTGACCTGGCCAGTGGTCAGGAATTCCAAAAAGCTCCGTAGGAGTTTACCAGGCAAAGCACGGTAAGCTGAGAGATACCATGGAGAGGTATCTGTAAAGCCCCGCGTTGGGAGCGGGCTGGTTCAGGAGAGACTTCCCGGGATGAATGGGTTTTGAGATGCATCTGGGGGATGGGATTCATAATGTGGCGTGTTTGGGCTCAGGACCGCGTTCTCTTTTTCCTGGCAGTGTCCAGGGTGCAGCTGGGGCCCTGGCTCTGGGGCCCATAGTGGCTGTCGCTCTTAAAGAAAGCGTCTCTGTTCCTTGCACAGCAGGAGCTACCCTTGGGATAGTGGGCTTGGCAGAGGCCGCCTCTCCACACTCACTTCCTACCTAGCCTCTACCAACCTAAGCAAATAGCTACTTTCTTTCCAAGGCAATTGGACGGACTTGTCCAAACATGCAAAACCAATGAGTGGGTCTGAACTGTGGTCTTTATCTACTATAACATCTTGTAACACCCCCCCCCAATACTGTCCAGAAGCATTTTGTATCATGTATAAAATAAAATTTATTTTTAAGATTTTATTTATTTGACACAGAGTGAGCAAGAGAGCACAAGCAGGGGGAGTGGCAGAGGGAGAGGGAGAAGCATGTCCCCTGCTGAGCAGGGCTCAATCCCAGGACCCTGGGATCATGACCTGAGCCGAAGGCAGACGCTTAACCAACTGTGCCACGCAGGCGCCCCTAAAATAAAATTTTCTTTTATTTTTTTTCTTCAAGATTTTGTTTATTTATTTGACAGAGAGAAAGAGATCACAAGTAGGCAGAGAGAGGGGGGAAGCAGGCTCCCTGCTGCGCAGAGAGCCCAAAGCGGGGCTCAATTCTAGGACCTGAGATCATGACCTGAGCCGAAGGCAGAGGCTCAACCCACTGACTTACCCAGGTGCCCCTAAAATAAAATTTTCATTTATATCCATTCCTTCTCATAGATGAATCAGTTGTAAAATGACTGGTTATAACACTGTCTCAAAGAAACCCTTCTTCCCTCTCTCCCTTTTCCAGAGAATTTTGCTTTAATTAATTCAACAAATATTTATTGAGTCAGGACCTTATTCTAGGCATTTGGGATACATTAGTGAACATAAAGAACACAAAAAAGCATACAATTTCACAGGCAAGACAGACATAATAAGTAAGTTATATTGTTTGCTAGAAAAGGTGATGAATGCTATAGAAAGGGGGAAAAAAAAAAGAAGGGAACCAAACAGAGAAGTTCTCTGTTCCCATGAGCCAACCTACCTTAATGGGCAGGGGGACTGGGGCAATAAGAGAAACAGGGCTTCTGGTTTTTGTTGTTGTTTTGTTTTGTTTTGTTTTGTTTTAAATTTGAGAGAGAGGGAGAGGGAGAGAGAGGGGAGGGGGGGGGAAGGCAGAGGGAGAAGCAGGCTTCCCGCTGAGCAGGAAGGCCAACGCAGGACTTGATTCCAGGACTCTGAGATCATAACCTGAGCCGAAGGCAGACGCTTAACCAACTGAGCCACCCAGGCGCCCTGTTTGTTTCACTATAAGTCCTTGTCCCTGGTTGGAATTTTAAACTAATTGCACGTATTACTTTGAAAAAAATGAAAATTAAGTTCAAACAGTGCTGTAACTATATTGGGAGGTGCGGGTGGCAGTGTGAGCTAAGTTCTCTTCTGTCAGTGTGGAAAACAGGACAAGGTTTCTAATGTTAATAAATCAAGATGTTGAAGTACAGGCATCTCATTTAGCAATGAAAAGGAAACTATTGGAAGAATTTAAAGGAGAAACAGCTAAAGGAGTGAAAAGTCATTTCTTTAGAGGAAAAACAACAGAAGGTGGGAAGGCATAAGAGAGTAGGCAGGGGGGATGCTTGCCCTTTATTATGGACCTTTTGGTATGTTTGGATTTTTAAAACCATAGGCATGTGTTGCTTTGATGATTAAAAAATCTTATTCTAGGGGCGCCTGGGTGGTTCAGTGGGTTAAGCCGCTGCCTTCTGCTCAGGTCCTGATTTCAGAGTCAGGGAGCCTGCTTCCCCCTCTCTCTCTGCCTGCCTCTCCACCTACTTGTGATCTCTGTCAAATAAATAAATAAAATCTTTAAAAAAAAACCAACAACCTTATTCTACCGAGGTGGGGGGGTGCTGTAGAGAGTGAGGGGGTGGTGGAGGAGGTAAGCTGTGGCTCCCTTTCTTTTATTTGTTTTATACCTCTGACTTTCATGCAAGTTTTTGTTTGAACCAAGGTTTCTGCAGTTGAAATTGGTTTGAACTTCATGATCTCTTTCGGCTCTCATAATTAATGATGCTTTACAAGCACCTGTTCCCCTTTATGCTCACTCCTCTTTACTTCTCCAGGGAGGTACCATCCCTTAGAAGCCTTTCGGCTTCCCCCAGCTGGCTATGGCTTGTGGTGATTGGTGAGTTTGTGGCCAGTTCTCGTGCATGTGTGGAAGTGACCCTTGCAGTCAGTCATTGGACGATTCCTACTTCAGAGGGCCCTGGCCCCCAGCACGCTGGCTGCGGTAACAGCAGGTGAGTGTTTCGGCTAATAGTCCCAGACTCTGCAGTTTCTGCTGCAGGAGCTGTGAGTTCTTGTAGACTCTTGCCTCCCACTCTACCTCTTCCAGGGGAGGGAGGAAGAGAGAGAGAGACAGAGAGGGAGAGAGAGAAAGAAAGGGGTGGGAGAGGGAGAGAAAAAGAGAGAGAGAGAGGAGAGAGGGAGGGAGGGAAAGAGAGAGAAAGAGGGAGACTATGAATGAAGTCAAGAAAGGGAGGCAACTCCCCATTAGCTTAGTCACCTCCTAGTGACTGCACTTCCAGACACGTGTCACCGTTTGCCTGTTCTGGCACTATTTTTAGGCGGGTCCCCTCCATTCATGTTTCTGGGGCCTTTGCAGTCATCCCTGTTGCTGTCTGGCAGCTGCTTTCCTGAGTTTTCAGGTTCCAGAGGTTCTGTGTTCCCAGGCACCTTTCATGCCTTCCTGCCTTTGCACGCCGTGTTCTTTGATCTGCTGTCTGAGGAATAGGATATTGATCCTTGAGGTCCAAGCTCAAATGTCACACAGTTTGTAAAACCTTTCCTGGATCCCAACTCTGAGGAAGCTCTCTATACCTTAGCACTTGCCACAGAGCCTCGTCCTTTCTTGCTGACATTTTGGCGTCCTGGAGGCGTTGGAAACACCCCACGGCCTTCTTCCGGCCTGGCCTGGAGTGCTCCGTAGCTGCTTCCTGAGCTCAGGGAAGCACAGTTGCTGATCCTTCTGTGCTTTAAGAAATCTTGCTTGGCCTAGAAGAAATGTTGCAGTGGGAAGCTCTCTATCCAGCGAGGCATCTCCATTAATCTTTTCTGGTTTTCCTCTTGGAAGAGGAGATTTGGAAGAGTCAGGTAACATCTAAAGAAAGCCTCCTGTACTTGGAGGGGTCCTATCAGGAGAGGGAGGATTATCTTACTGATCAGAGAAGCAACGTTCAGAAATATTACGACTTGATGATGGTCACATAGTAAATAGAGCCAGAGGCTGAAATCCATGTCATCAGACTCCAGGGACACTCTTTCCTACCACACACTTCCTCGTAGTCCCCACAATGTGCTCTGAGATCACACCATTAAAGAGAGGCCACAATTTCCCCCTCAAGCATTCATGCAGTCAGTTTCCTTCCAGACCCAAGGGTTGAGAATCTTTCTGTCTCCCCTCCTTTTTCATTTCTCTGAGATTTGCTAGCTCTTTCTCTGTCTCCTCTGCAGCCTACAGGAGTTTATTTCTCTCTCATCTCTTTCCAGATATCATAATTTCCAAATCTTTTGGTTGGTTTCTTTTTCTGGCTATGGTCCTTTCTTTGGGAGACTTTCCAATATAGCTGCAGATTGGAGGATGATAACAATGAATTAGTAGATCTTCTTTGATGTTATTTTGTGGGTGAACTCATTAATTTATGACAAAAACATCAAAGAGCTCGGCTCCTGCATCGGGACTGGCTTATCCCACAGCAGCTGGGTAATAATGATTAGTCAGATTAAATCTCAACGTCTTCTTCTACTTCAGGAGTTAAAGTCTAAATGACTGGGGTGTGGGAATATTCCATCCTGTAGCATCCCATTGGCTTTGAGTCAGCACAGAATGAAACTCCCCACTCCAAATGTGGATCTCTCTCCATGGTCTCCACTTTGATGCCTCTAAGCCTTGAGGTCTGTCACGATCGGTGTAGCAACTGTGGAGGCAGTGTGGGGATAAAAGCCTGAGGCTGTTAAAGTCTCTTCGCAGTCAGGGGAGCTGGATAGTAAAAGGGATCACTCATCCTTGCATAGACTAGCTCAAGGTTCTCCAGAGTCCTAGTCCTGTAATTTCGTGGGAAGGAGAACTCTTCTGGGCCACACAAGAAAAGTGCCAGCATCATGTTCAGCACATAGCAAGCTTTCCATATGTAATGGTTGACTGGACTTTTTGAGAAAGGTCATGGTGCATGAAGTCTCTGGCTAGTTGAAGAGGAGTAAGAAGTAGAGCTCAGGTCTTGGCTTATACAACACCACCTCCTAACCTACTCACATCGATGGCCATTTACTTTGCTTCTTCCACTTTATTCATGGTGGGAAATTGTCTGTGCTCCTCTCTAAAGCCATCCCCTCCATGTTGGCCCTGGAACCCATCCTTTGCTGACCTCTTAAGGGTTTGTTTCTGCAGTTAACCCTCTCCTTCCTGAGGCTTTGATGTTTCCCTTTTAACTAGATTATTTCTATCAGCAAATAAGCAAGCTCTACTGTTTCCCATCTGAAAAGAGCCTCCCTTGCTCCCACTTCTTCAGGCTGCTGTACTACTCTTCCCTCCCTTTGACAGCAAAATGCCTCACGAGACTTGTCTACAATCTTAGTATCTCTCCTTCCTCTCCTCCATTCAAACTTTGAAACCCATTTTAATTTAGGATTTCATCCCTGTTCTCCACTGAAACAGCTTTTACCAAGCTCATCAATGATCATCTAGCTGCCAAGTCCCTCGGTCATTTCTCTGTCCTCACCTTATCCTTCCCATGAGCAGCTCTTCAGCACAGCTAGTAAGACTCTGTTACCGGGTTTCTTGCTTGGCTCCAGGACAGCATTCTCTCTTGGGTCTCCTCCTAACTCATGGGTTGCTGTTCTCACCAGCCTTTCATCTTCCCAACCTGGAAGTAACAAAGTGACCAGGATCAGTTCTTGGACCGTTTTTCTAGCTGTACCCACTCCCTACCTGTTCTCATCTGGTCCCGTGGTTTTAAATCCTGTTCACATACTGGCGGCTCTTGATGTTGTATCTCCAACCCTTTACCTATCTCTGAAACTCAAAGGCCTATTCCTCTCAGATGTATAATATGCACATCAAATTTCAGACCTAAATCAATTAAATAAAACTCTGTGTTCTCCATCCTTTGAGGCCCACTCCGTCCTTAGGCTTTCCTTCTCAGTAAGTGGCAACTCCTTTGTTCCAGTGACTCAGACTTCAAGACTTAGAATCACCTTTGACCCACTCTCATATCACACCCCTAGTCTATCAATAGTTCCTGCCAGCACTACCTTCAAATTATATCTAGGGTCTGGCCACTTCTTACCACCTCCGCTGCTATTATCCTTGTCTAAGCCACCACCATATCTTGCCCAGACTACTTTAACAGCCTCGTAACTCGTATCACTGCTTCTATCCTTACCTTCCTCCCCCTTCCCTCTCCCTCCCATCCCAGCCCTAGCCTCCAGAGTAGTCTTTAAAAAACTGCAATTAGGTAATGCCATGCCTCTACTCTAAACGTTGTAAGGCTTTTGATCCCACTCTCTAAACAGAATCCAGAATCCTTATTAGGGCCTGCAGGTGCTATACGACCTGGCTCTTCCTACCTCTCTGATCTCCGCTTCCATTTCTCTTCCCCTGGCCCACTCCATTCTAGCTACACTGGTCCCCCTGCTAGTCTTTGAACATGCCAAGCCAACTCCTCCAGCCCGCCCTTGTACTGTCCTCTAAGCTAGTCACTCTTCCTTTAGGTACCTATGTGTTCTTTCACTTCCCTCAGGCTTCTGCCCAAATTTCACCCTATCAAAAACACTTTTGATGACTATCCTTTCTAAAATAACCCTCCTCTGTCACCTCTCTTTACCATGCTTTACTTTTCTTCCTAGCAATGATCACAACTCAACATACTTTATACTGATTTGTTTATCTGCCATTGATTGTTATCCCCATTAATATGTAAATTCAATAAGAACAAAGTCTTTGTGCATGTGGTCATTTCTGTAGCCCAAGCTGTGCGAATAGTGTCTTCTCCATAGTTCATGTTCAACAGATACATGTTGAATGAATAGATTTGTTGGATGGACTCATCTGGCTCTCTTGTTATCAGATACAGTGGTTTCCAGATAGTCGTTTGGTTAATATAATCAAAATCACGTGTGAGAAACTGAGGTGTCCATGGAGGTCATCAGATTATGCAACTATTTAATACTAGTGACTACCGTGGGATTCACAGATATTTTCAGTTTGCCCTTGATGCCAAATCATTAGGCAAACTCTAAGGTGGGATGAAACATCTCCCTTTATTTCTTCGGTATGTCATTTATCCTCTGGGACTCAGTGTGTTCATCTGTGAAACAGGCAGTTGAAGATACGGTTCCTGCTGTGCTGGCTTAAGGCCAACAGGATGCTCAAGGGAGGCGGTACAGTTAGGAGGATCAACCACACAAGCTCTGGAACTTGACTGCCTGTGTTTGAATCCTGTCTCCATTCCTCACGAGCCACATGACCTTGGGCAACTTTCTCAGTTTTCTTATTTGTAAAGTGGGAATAATAAAAAGATAATAATAGCATTTAATTCAAAGAGTAATTGTGAGAATTACATTAAGACAATACATGTAAAGTATGTAGCACATGGTTTGGCATATAGTAAGTGCTCAGTAAATGTTAGCTATTATAAATGAAAAGTTCTGAGAGGCCATTGCGATTCATGTGTTTTAGGGGCAGTAAATTATCCTAGAATATTAGATGATGTGAAATCTGTAAGGCTCTGGTAATGTGGTTAGGTAGAATGCCCTTATTCTTAGGAGAGGCATGGTGAAGAACTGAAGGGTAAAGGTGAAGGGTAAAGGTTCTCCGTATCTGTCACTTATTTTCTAATAATCTAGCTAAACATATTTCTCTGTTTTTATATCTATCAAGAAAATGTGGCAAAATGTTAACAGATGTTGAAGCTAGGTGGATAGTATGGTTACTGTACTATTCTTTCAACCTTTCTGTATGTCTGAAAATTCAAAATAAAAGGTGGGAAAAAAAAAGAACCCTAGAAATAGTCTAGTGAAGTCCAACTGTCATTTTATGGAAAGAAGCTCAGAAGTGAAGCTCTTGACCAAGGTCATATGCAGGAGGAGCTTGAGCCAGACTCCAGGTCTCCTGGCTGACCATCTCTCCCTTTGTGTGGCTGGCTGCTGTTACCCCTCAGGCAGCAGTGAGCTGCAGAGGAACAGAATCCGCTTCCCCCCAAAGACCAAAGGGTGTTATGGATGTGTAAAAAGGCACCTGTGTTGGTGTTTCCTTTTTGTTTATTAAGCAAATGGGTAGGTCATTTGGTTGGAAGGTATGATGTCAAAATTCTGATGGCAGCACCAGGACCACACCTGACATCCTGGGTAAACCAGTTTGGCACCATTTGCTTGTGTTTTTTGAGTGCAGTTTTTGGGAATGCAAGGGAGAGAGGGAAGAGTAGGAGTAGGGCCAGGGTCAGGAAGAGCAGTGGAGAGACTGGCTTAAATTTTGGAGCTCCCTGAAAGAAGGAAACCCCAGGATTTCTCTGGGGATGAAATGCAGGCACATATTTAAAGAAAGGAAATGATTCTCTGCGGTCTGCAGCATTCTCCTTTAGCTAACAGGGTTCAAAGCAGTGAAAAGAAGAGACGAGGAGAGGTGGGAATGCCCATTCAAGTCTGGGGAAGGGGGAACAGAGAAGGAAGGCCGGGGGGGGGGGGTGGTGGCGGAGAAAGAACAGAAAAAAATACCATAGAGGAAACCTGGGCCACGGTGCGGGAGGGGTTGGGGGAGGGGTACTGGAAAGGTAAAGAGGCCGCACCTGGAGGCCTGCAAATGCGTGGAGGACTGTCAGCCTCCACCAGCTAGAGTGTCTTGCCCCAGAACCGTCCTGCCTCTCTCTTCTCCAGGTCTGGAAGTCTCAGGAGGCCGCGGTAGCGAGCGCAGAGCTCCCGGCGCTCTTACTAGGGGGAAGGGCGGGCGGGAGAGGCGGGGCCTCCGGGTCGGGCGGGAGCAAAGCCTCCGGCCGCGGGAGGGGCTCCTCTCCGGCGGGCGGGCGCCGGAGTCTGGGGGCCGTGTTTCCCCCTCCTGGTCGGTGGAGGCGCCTGGCCCCTCCTCCCCCGGCCGCCCCCACCCCCGCTGCCGCTGTCAAAGAAAAACCGGGCCGTTGCTTGCAGAAGCAGCGGCTGCGGGCGATCCGGCGGTGAAGAGCCTCGGGCGCGGCCTCGCCTCCCCGGCCCGGCGCCCGCATCAGCACCGCGGACAGCACAGCGGCTGTCGCCCGTACCCAAGCATCCGCTGGCCCACCAACCCACCGGCACCTGGGCCCGCGACGTCCTAATCAGCACCGTGGATAGTGCACTGGGCCCCCCTCTAGCCGCTGCCAGCCCACCTGCTCCCGGAGTCAGCACCGCGGACAGCCCCCCGCCACCGGCCTCGCCTCAGGCTCGGAGGGATCAGTGCCCCTGGAACATGGCCACTGAGGTAGGGGGCGAGCGCCTGGCCCGCAGGCAGTGCCCAACTGGTGCGGGAACACATCTCCGCTAGGGGCGGACTGGGCGGGAAAGGAAGAAGGGGGGTTGGGGTGGGGTGAGGGGGTGGGTTGGAGTAGGGTAGGATGGGGTGGTTTTCCAGATCTCATACTGCGGGAAGGGGTGGGGAGCAGAGTGGCAGGGTGGAGGAGAGGGGCTTCTCCTGATAACTCATCTTACTCCTGGCGATCTTCCCCGTCTGAGTGCCGAAGCTGCCCACACCACTTGTTGGCACTGGCACCAGGTTTGCTCTAGGGACCCAGCTGGGGTTTCCCCTTACTCTGGACTGCTAGTCCTAAAACTACTTCCCTAGAGGGTTGGAGGTGAGCTTGTCCCTGTTTTAGGGGCAGGAAGGCAGCTGGTTTCTGTTGCTGTGCAGTGTAGCCATCCAGCTTTTGACCCCAAAAGCCTGGTTAAGAGATGACAGACCTACCTCCACATCCACATTTCCTTCATGGGGATGGAGGGCACAAGACCCCAACCGGTTTTAATGAGCTTCCTGGACCAGTCTCCACTTTTGCATATCATGCTTTCTTGCTTTTTCATCCCGTTCAAGTTTCTTGTACCAGGGTGTCTGCATTTCCCGTGTCTGATGGGAGGAGCTGTCTTCTTCAGGGTGTGCTAATAGGTGTGTCACCTTCAGGGGACTTGAAAGCTGAACCGAGGGACCTGTTGGCTGAGGGTAGAATCTTGGTGCAGTGCTTAAGAGATCAGGAATTTCCTCCTGTTGTCCTTCATTTCATGTGGGAAATGCAGCTCTTTATGTCCCCACTGTATAAGCGGTACAGCTAACACATGGAGAAGGGGAGGACCTATTCAATGCACAGCATGTTAGCAGCAGAACTGAAAGTTTCTTTCTTTGGATTTTTGGAGTGGAACCCAGGACACCAGGGTCTCTCCAGGTCTGACGTTGACTTCTGCGGTGTTTCCCCATTTCTACCCCAGCTGGGAGACAGCATAGGCTTTTGAATGATTCTGTGCATTGCCTCTGGGCATCCTGGTGAGCAGCGTGACATCAATACCAAGTGTTATTATTGTAATTCTGCTGTCATGGCCACCACAGAACAAGGTGCAGTTGCTTGGTGCCATTTGGCTTTGTGACAACGCACAGGATTAGCTAGGAGAGCTCACTGTCCCCCCCACCCCGGACCTTGTGAGGGGGCATGTCCTAAGCAGGCCCATGGAGCTTGGTTTTTATGCTGGAGGAATGCAAAAATAAATAATTAGAAAGCCTGGAAAGTACCAAAGTTACTGAGAAGAGCAGGAAGAGCAAAGGATCTGATCACCTTCCAGAGAGGGCCGCCAGGCTGCAGCAAAGGCTGCTGGTGCTGGGCAGGAAGGGACAACGTCAGCCACCTGGGTGTAGCTGGGCCAGCAGTGTGGGCAGAGAAGGCAGCCACATCTGTGATGTGTTCTGCCAGATTCCAGGAGCCCCATCTGTCTCATTATCTCTCCAGTGCAGGTCTGTTGTGGTACACAAATGCCAACCAGCAGGCTCACATCTCTAGGTTGAGGCAGTGTTTCTAGGTGGCTGCTGTTAGGCGTGCATGACTCTCCGTGGGGAGAGGTTCTGCTCACAATGCCTCTGTGAAGGTAGCACTTTCCTGTGTACAAAGCACTACCACATGTATGATCTCCTTTGAGCTTTAGAGCAACCCTGTGAAGTGGGCAAGGATGGCGTTATTATCCCCAATTAACAGATGAGCTCACGGAGGCTCAAGGGCTTGCCTAATCCCTGTGAAGAAGCCAAGGAAGGCATCATTATCCCATTTTACAAATGATACAAGTGGAATGTGAGAGTTATTCAAGAAAATATGGCTCAAAAGGGGCAGAGCTTGAGCTTCTGCCTCCCTGGTCAGTGTTTTTTTTTTTTCCTGCTGCATCCATGTATATCCATTAGCCAATGGTGTTTCTCAGCAGAGAGGTGGGCACTAGAGGTGGTGACATGAGGCTATGATGGAAAGGATGCAGAAGAGCCCAGCTCCCTGTTCATCCTGGCTGGGTCAGCTTGAGGGCAGAGGGACAGAGGAATGGCCAGAAGGGATGGAGAGCAGAGGACAAACATTACCCATTTCCCAATTTGGCCTTGGGTGGACCCTGCTGGCAGTACTGAGGGAGGAAGTCTTAGCTCTGCCAAGGCACAGAATGTACACATTATCTGGGCTGTGGAGTGAGTCATTCTCCCCAGCCTGTTTTTACTGTTAGGACTGAGTTAAGATTACCAGGAAAAACCTGTTGGGAGAAGGAATACCTCATGCCAGACTTCCTGGCCATCCCCACTGGATTCCAAATGGGAAGTCCTCAGTTCCAGCAGAAGATGTTTTGAGAGGTAAAGAGGAGAGGAACAGAGAGAGGGAGAGGGAAGCGGGAGAGGGAGAGAAGGAGAAGGAGGGACAGGAAGACAGAGGGGGAGGGAGAGAGGAGAGACATTAAGGAAGACTGGATGTCCCTGGATCCTTATGTGGAAGGCATGGAAACTGGGTCTTTTCTGCTTCCTAATTTCTGTTGAGGAGTTACTGTTAGGGGAGGAGTGCATGTGAGGAACTCAGAGGAGGGATGGATCCTCCTGAGTGATATACTGACCTCATTTGGACAACTGTAATGAGCCCATTTCCTGAGCAGCAAATCTCTTTGAATCTGTGTCACCAGGAGCAGGGTCCACCCTGGGAAAGAGTCCAGATGGCCCAGGACAACTGGGAAATGCCTGGCTGGGAGGGGCTTCCTTGAGTGGTGGAGTTTGGTCTCTAAGAGGTTTTTAAATGCACCCAAGTGGCATTATCCAAGCAAAGCACTTGGAGGTTTGATCTCTGAGCCTGGAATTAACAACCAGCAGACAGTGGGTTGGGCTTGGCCCTGGTGCAGGCTTAGAAGAAGGAAGGCCCGATACCTGGGTTTCCATCCCGAGGCCTGACTTGGCTGCTTGTGACTCATGATCCTCACTCCTCCTCCACACCCCAGCCAGGGAGCAAGCATGGTGTTGGTTCATTAGCTGAATCTCCTGATTCTTGAGTTGAGCCTCAAATGCATCCTCTGGAATTAGCTAGTTTTTAATGAGGATGGAGATGTGGGCCAGATGGGGCCTCCTGCTTGTCTTGGGCAGATTGGGACTGGGAGTGCTCTTCCAAATTCTGGGGCTTGCTCCTCCCCACCTCTACCAGGTTGGCTCTGTCAGGTGGGTGACACCCATTCTTCAGACAGCCTTCCTATCCCTGTCCTACTGAAGTTCGAAAATTGGTGCCAGCAGATATTACCACCGATGTTCTCTTTCTTCCCTGTGAAGTGCCTCTTGGTCCTGTCTTTACTCACCTGCTGGCAGGCCAGGGGATGGTGGCGGGAGAGAGGGCAGAGTTGAGGAAGGTAAGAAGTAGATGAGAAGCCCGGGTGTCAGGGTCAGTTAAGAAACTCGGGGAGAGCAGACACAGAAGCTGTGTGCATATTCTGGGATCCTCTCATGGGATTTCAGAGCATCATGGATCTCTCTTAAAACCCCCCACTTGTTTTCTGAAAGCTAAGTAGTTGGCAAGTGCCTGAAGTCTGGCTCTAGCTCTGGCTCAAGGGCCCCAGTGATGGGATTCTTCATTCAGTGGTCCTCAACTGACCCTTCTAGAAATGAGTCTCGTTCACAGCTGTGCCTCATTTGGTCTGCTTCTGTGCTTACAAATGTAAAAATGTATTGGAAACATTAAAAAAAAATCAAGATATTTGGTATTAAAGAAATCTGGATTTATGGCTTCTCTTAAGATGTCAGAAGCAGGAAAAAAAATGTCAGAAGTGCAGCGTCCTGGGCTCACATTCTCACATGGCTTTCAGGGATGTTCTCTGATTAGCCACAGCCCTCACCGGGCTCACATACATACTTAGTCCCTATAAACACTGGCATTCGTAATCCCTGAGAAAGCCTCTTGAGGGTCAGGGCCAGAAGGGGCTTTAAGTACTTATGTTGTTCCAGCTTCTCAGTTTCTAGTTGAAGAAATGGAGGCCCAGGGTGATGTGGCCCGGACTAGCACCCAGGTCTCCTGCTCCCAAGTCAGTGGGCCTTCTTTCCATCAGTGCCTTTTGGTACTTCACAACTGAGCCACCGTGGATGGAGAAAGCCAGGAGACTCTGCTCTGCCTTAAATCTATCCATTCACCAACTACAGATGACTCTTCTATTGTGCTGTACATAGATCTGGGAGATGAAGGCTCTAGAGTATACAATGTGTCTGATACTGTCTTCTAGCAACTCCTCAAGACTCCACAAGTACTCTAAGGGAGGGAAGCAGATCCCTTGTCACTCAGAGCCAGTGTTCTAAGACTCAGGATTTTTGGGGTTGGAAAGGATGTTGACCCCTCCTACTCTGGCTACTTGAGAACCCATGGATCAAAGCCAAGAGGAGATGGGACTATACTATGAAAAGTAGCATCCTAAAATCTTAATGGAATAATAAACTAGAAGTTTATTTACTGCTCAGTAAAGTCCCAGACAAGTGATTCTGACCAGCAGCTGGATCTCCTCCAGGCTGATTCAGGGACCAGGCGCTTTCGGACTTGTGGTTCCATCATCTTCAACATACGGCTTCTTTGGTTTCTGTGGAAGGGCAAAGATTACAGAGGAGTGGATAGTCCTGTGAGCCAAACCTGTACATTCCACTCACATTCCATTCAGTCATATGGCCACACCTAATTGTAAGGCAGGCTGGGGATTAATCTAACTGTATGCATGGGGGGCGGGAAGAAGAAGGGCTGTTGTCAACAGCTAGCCAGTACGAGAGACCCAGCCCTTCATGGTAGCACACAGTGTGTGTGTGTACTCAGGCAGAGAAAAAGGAGGCTGTGGGGGAGAAGCTGAGTCCGTATCAGAATGACTGAAGCACTGTTTTTTTTTGGTGTTGTTGTTTGTTTGTTTGTTTAATTCTCCCTTTCTTTCCATTCTCACCAGCACATTCCTTGGTTTAGATCTACTTTTGTTTCCCTGGACCACTACAAAGATAGTGCATCCCTTCACCTGGCCTCTTACCCTAGTCATGCCCAATTTCCCATGCATCCCACACAGAGCTACCTGAATGGTCCTTTTGGGGCTAGGGGAACCCATCCTCAAGATTCACTGACTCATGTCAGTTGGTTTTAGAAGGGCAGAGGAAGACCACAGCCCTTTTCCTTGGAAAATACAAAAAATATGAAATCTTAACCAGACAGAGCAGACACATTAATGAATAATGTACTTATATCACCAAAGCTTAATTTGATTTTCAAAGTTATCATAGGACCCTAGTGAATGTCAAGGGGGCTTTCTCAATTAAAACCTTGAGTGGAGGAATCAAGGCCTACAAAGATGAGAGGAGCACCATATATCACCATATATCAGTCCCAATACTCTGGGGACCACTTCTCTCATAAAGAGCAAGGGCTATCTGGATTTAGGAAAGTCTCTGATTCTCCCCTTTTCAGAACCTTGATCTACCAATTACCTGCTCCTACCTTTCTCTTATTACTTATTCCCCCAGTTTTTTTTTTAAGATTTATTTATTTTAGAGCAAGCAAGAGAGAGAGCGAGAGCACATGTGAGCATGGTGTAGGGAGGGGCAGAGGAAGAGAGAATCTCAAGCAGACTCCCTGCTGAGTGTGCAGCCCAGCATGGGGCTCAATCTCGATCTCACCTCCCTGAGATCATGACTTTAGCCAAAATCGAGTTGGATGCTTAACTGTGCCACCCAGGTACCCCCCTTTCCCCCAGTTTTTTTTTTCTTTTAAGATTTTATTTGTTTGTCAGAGAGAGAGTAAGATAGAGCACAAGCAGGGGAATGGCAGGCAGAGGTAGAGGGAGAAGCAGACTCCCCACTGAGCAAAGAGCCCTATGTGGGACTCTATTCCAGGACCCTAGGATCATGACCTGAGCCGAAGGCAGATGGTTAACTGACTGAGCATTTCCCCCAGCTTTTAAGCAAGTTTAAGTGTCTTCAATCCTACACCTTCTCCTCTAGGTGTGCCCCCCACCCAGCTCTCCGTGATTATGCTGTTACCCCCTCACCCCTGCCCCGCTCTTACCTAATCCACAAAGTCTTGCTGAAAACTGCCTGTTGTCGCTGGAACAGATCACGTTCTCTGCCATCTTTGCTCCCTTACAGAAGCTTCTCCCTCTGTCTGGGTTGCTTTTACGTCCTGTCCCTACCCACTGCCTGCCCCCTACCACTGGCAAGTCCTGGCCTTCCTTTATGACTCAACACAGACCTCAGGAAGTCTTTTCTGAGTAAGCATTTCTGGGTAAGATGTTACTTCTCTCAAGCATTTATCACAGGCTAATTTATTATATATTTACTTGTCTTCCTCCCTGGAGCTCACAGACTGTCTTTTGCTCAGCATCCCCAGAGCCTGGCAGTAGTAAGGACTCAATAAATGAAAGGAATGACTGAATGGATTCACTTTAATTACGCAGGATGAACTGGCCGTGTGTTCACTCTGCCCCTGGGGCTTGGTCTCCACGTGGTTCCAATGTTTGGCATATTTTACCCAGTGGAATGCTGGTTTCAGATGT